AGTGGCCCTTCCTCTGGTAGGGAGGATGCTAAACTTCGTGTTTGGAATTTTGTACACCTAAAAATTGAAGTGCTTTAAGACAATGGAGTTGTAGTTAGAAACTTTGCCGTTGTTTGTTGCATTCCAGAAACTGGTCTACTTACACTTGTTTGTCTACCTCCTATTCCCACTTTTGGTGCAGGATTTTCAAACAATACAAGACATACTTATTCAATAAGCCACTTTTGGGAGAGGGGTACGAATGGAAGTGGATTCATTACTTAAATGTGCATCAGCAAGCCAGTTTCCTTGAACTTCTGTTAAAGCAGTTCATAAAGGAATAGCACACTGGGTGTAACTGGAGTGTGCAAATATGCATAGCCTCGTAATTCATCTCCTCGTCTTGAGAGGTTCAGATTCTTTGTTCACGTTTGTGAAGCTATGATGCTGTGCCTTAATGACATTATGGTTACTTTGCTGCTCTAAGGAGGTGGCCTGGAATCTGCTTATTGTAGATGTTTCACTTCAACTGTTTCTCCAGTCACAGACTTTTCTTAAGTCAGAGTAACTCCTTCTACGTATAGAAGCTGTGCAACTGAGGGCATTCTCTTTCCTTTCCTGGTCCTGGGCTGCCTATAAAGGGTCGAGAAGGCTGTTTTAAAGATTCCTCTTGCCTTAGCTTGGCAACTGAGGGATGTAATGTGCACAGGAGTTCCCAATTAAAAGGGGGAGGTGAAACATGGCTGGCTGGATTGGCCTGTTACTGTAGAGAGGGGTACTCTTATAATAATATACCATGCCTTGAAAGGAAGGGGGAAAGCTTTCATTGCTCAAAGCTGGGCTCCGCTAGTACCCGGCAGTTCCTCTCTGAAAACAAACTGCAGAACCAGCATGTTCTAGCGCTCGATTATTGCACGAGGCACAACCCCACCTCTGCTTCGGGGCCTGCACAGAGCTTCCCCGTCCATGCGGGCAGCTGTTGGCTACGCCAGGTCCCCCTTGGCGTGCTCAGGGTAGTAGGCAGAAGTCGCTCCTTTTGTTTTTGAAGGCGGCCTCCCAGCTTTATTGAAACCGAGGTGGATCTGCAAGCACCGAACAAAACTGCCAGGCTCTAAATCGAATTGTTGTTATGCACTACGCCGCCTTAAAGCTGCTTGGCTGGGGGAAGGAGAAAGGCATCTGGGATTTGACTGGGAAGCCTCCTCACATTAGTCTGCCTGTTTCTGCAGTGGGCCCAAGGGCCTCTTCTCTGGGTTGTGTTGTGCTCTGGGGAGGCTGGTGCCAGAGACGGAAAGGGGGTGCGGGGCACGGCGCTGCATGAGGTTTCAATGTACCCAACTTTATCTTGGACATAAGAAGCAGGGGTTCGTACGGAAGTAAACCTGCTCCCACTGACTCCTCTTGGTCCAAGTGGGCCTAGCTGCTTCCCCCCGCACATGCGCAGTAGCGCCGCACCAAGCGGGAACATCCGTGCGTTCCTCACCCGTCTCCGTGTTGGTACAGGCCAAGAAGGTCCCAACCCTTCCCCCCTCCCTTTCCTCTAGAGAATGGTAGGAGCCCGGGCAGTGCGGCGGGATTGGGGAAAGGTAGAAGCGGGGCATCTGACGTCATCGGTCGAAGCGGGCACAGCTCTAGAGGCAGGAGCTTGTTTGACTCTTCCTGCCGCCCGTACTCCACGGAGCGCTTCGCCCGTGCGCATGCGCACCGAGTGGGACGGTGGGTTGCTAGGCTGAGGGCGGCCCTTAGTTACCGAGCCTGGCGGGGCCGGAGGATGGTGCTGACTCCGCAGGTACAGTCCGTCTGCGGCGCTGGGCTGAGGCCGCCCCCTTGCGTGGGCTCAGCGGCTCCCCCGCCTCGGGTGCACGGAAGCGGGCTCCTCCCGCCGTGCCCTGCATTGCAGTGGTGACAGCGGGGCCCAGGCCGGGACTGCTCGGGGGCCTCCGGGCTGCCCCGCACACCCGGCTCCCGGCGCGCTGCCCAGGCCGTGCCGGGCCTAGGGCAAATTCTAGGTGACCCCTGGACGCCCGCGTGGGTCATGGTGGGAGCAGCAGGGGCGACTCGCACTGGGACCGCTGTGCGGACCCTCGGGGATGCTGGTCTGCCGCGCTTTGAGAAACCAGCGCTGTGGCCTGGCACTTCTCTGCTGTCACAGGGTCTCTAGAAACGGTCTCCGCACAAACCTCTCCTCATTGTCTAGGGCACCTGCTGACAAGCAGCCTGCATCCTTCCTAGGTGCTCTCTGCCTCCTGTCCTGAGATGCCATTGAATGGGGTTATGTGAATAACAATAAGTTTGCACACGTGTTTACGAGCATGGCTGGGAGGATCCCTCTAGTTCAGCCCCGTTGACACTCTACAGCCTTGTTCAAATTAGAAAAAAATATCAAACCTGTAACAAGCCATCACAGCAGCTATGTTAGTGAGAGCCCAAGGGTAGACCACATGCAGGTGTTTTTGCTTTTGTATGTAGAGCTGCTCTGATGTTGTTATAAAATGTCAGAAGTGTGGTTAACTTTTATGGAAAACAAAAAGGGTCCTGGCTCCCAAAAATTTAGAGCAGCACTCTCTCAATCATTCATTAGATTTCAGTCATTGAAAACTACAAAGGAATAGCATTAGACTGGAAGCCCGTGATTTTTGGGATTTTTTTTAAATACAGAGTACTGGTGAATCTAATTACATTTTTAATTAAGGCTATTGAAGAAATAAAATGGGAAGTCTTGTGTACTTCTTGGGGTGTTTGCCTGGCTGGCTGTTGTGTGATGATTTTATGTGTTTGTCTACAGAATGTTATAGTAAACTTTTAACAACAACAGAAAATCCTAGCCTAACTCTTTTAGAACAGATATGCCATTCCTGCACTGACACATTACACACCAACCTGCATGTGCCTGCGTGTGTTCCTGATTCACAGTCATGAAGAATCTGCTTGTTCTTTACACAAAGTTTGCAGGTATGAAATAGTATATTTTTGCTTTTGCTCTGCTTTTTGCATTCATTCTCAAGGTTACTATGGAGAGAGATCCTCGGAACATCATTGTCTTCAGTGCATCCAAAAAAGAGATTTTCACTGTCAACAGTGGTTTTAAGTCTTTACAGAAAAGGCTTCGCAGTAATTGGAAGATACAGAGGTGAGGAATTGGCTTTCTTTTTCACTCCTTGTAGCTTTTAGGATGCATGAAGGTGAAACTGATATATGTAATAAGTTACTTGTGAAGTAAGATCAGTGCAGTTGAGACTGTTTTTATGATGACATTTGAGGTACTTCATAATATATTGATGTTTGTGGATATTCATAGCAAATCAGAAGAGCATTAACCTGTAGCTCTGCTATGGGGTGGCTTTGAAGGGCTTTAATTGAACTTTCAGGTACTGGGCGTTGTAAGTTTATGCAATCTCTGAGGCTACCCCACTGTTTGCTTTTTTTTTTAGAATGCTTATTTGCCTTCATAATGGGTTAAGATTTGCTGTTACTATTCTGGGGTAAAAAACTATTAAGCTTAAAATTAGGGGTGCACTGATGGATTTGGGGGGGGGGGGGGGGGGGTGGGAGAGGAGGTGGGGGGGGGGGGGGGGGGCGGATAGCCAATTTTTAAGGAGGCATATCGGCCAATACCGATCTGGTTTCTGATACGCAGCCTGGCAGCTTGAAGAGCAGTGTCCAGCTAGTAAGTCTGTTGTGGTGGAAGAGGAGGGAGTAGGGGGGCAGATCGAGGCCCCTGCAGTGAGGGAGGGAGTAGGGCTGGGGCAGACACTGCACAGCTGAGGAGGGCCGTGGGATGGAGCTGCAGCTCATCTGGGAGGCGTGGGGAGAGGGGCCAGCTCCCATTGCTGCATGCATCCCAGGAGGGCATGGCTGGTGTGTGCCCCCAGATCTGCACATGGGGCCACGTGGGCTGCTGCTGGGGCCGGGGCTGGGCCGGGCTCTTCCTGGCAGGGGGCTGGGCTGGAGCAGGCAGCAGTGGCAGCGCTGGGAGGGACCTACATGGGGGCTGCAGCTACCCCAAAACTTGCTGTAGTCTCCCCAGTTCTCCTCCTCAGCACCACTGCCACCTGCCCTGAGTGCAGCTTGGCCCAGCCCCAACTGGGAAGAGCCTGGTGCCACCCCAGCCTGCGCCCGCAGGGACAGCCCACCCCACCGTGCAGATCGGGGGACACCAGGGGGTGTAGGGAGGGGGGCAGCTCCCATGCCCTCCTGGGGTGTGTACAACAATGGGAGCTGCCTCCCCTCCCTACACCCCCTGGATGAGCCATGGTTCCATCCCATGCCCCACCTCGCCCCGGCTGTGCAGCGCCTGCCCCAGTCCCACTCACTCCCTCACCACATGAACCTCGATCTGCCCCCCACGCCCCTTTTCTTCCCCCCCTCCCCTTCCACCACAACAGACCTACCAGATGGACACAGCTCTCCAAGCTGCTGGGCTGCGCTCCTCACCGCCTACATGCTGCGCTGCAGCTGTGTGCATGCACGGGGCATTTATCGGCCAAATTATTGGTCACATCAGTCAAAAAAAGACTTTCCGATACTGTCAATTTTCCTTATATTGGACTGATTTGATGAAAAATAAAAAAACATAAATCAACTGAAGTGTTCACTTTGTATTCCTTTGCTAGGCTTTTAAAATAAACTGCAGTTAATGACTCATTCATGAACTATATATAAAATTACTATGTAACGTGTTTTAATTAATCTGTTTTATAGTTTAAAAGATGAGATCACATCTGAGAAGCTGACGGGGGTAAAGTTGTGGATTACAGCAGGGCCGAGAGAAAAATTCACCGCAGCTGAGGTGAGAAATGTAGAAAGGAGGAGGAAAAGACTAAAGTGATTTGCATACTAGTTATTTTTCCAGTTATTTTTCACCTAGGAAGAAACTTGAGAAGATGACATACAACATTATATGATAGCACTGTAGTTTGGAAAGCTTGTTTTACATGCGTTTAGATTTGAATGCTTTTTTGCAGGATCAAGCTGATTTCAAATAATTAAAACTAGATACCTTGCTCATTTCTTTACAGTCTTTTTGAGTACTGTTCTTAGCGCTCTGATTGTATTCCTGTGTTTCCATCTTATTGTTTAGTTTGGGGTTCTGAAGAAATTCCTGGAAGAGGGTGGGGATATCCTGGTGATGCTGGGAGAAGGTGGTGAATCCCGATATGACACCAATATTAACTTCTTGCTAGAAGAGTATGGGATCATGGTCAATAATGGTAACTGAGTTTATTCCAGTCTTTTTTTTACCCCTTGTTGACAAAACCTTTGGGATATTTCTACTATGTATTATATTTTAACATGTTTTAGGTTTTGAAATCCATATTTTTATTGTAATGCAGAATGAGACTGCAGTCTGGCCAAAGACTTTTGTATATGGAATAATTTTATAATCTCCAACACATTTCCATCCATTTAGCACATCAGGTAGTTGAAGAGTAATTACTGACAAATGTTAATACCAGCATAAATGGATTTTCACAGTCGCAAGCTACTTAATGTATTATTAGAATTTCACTTGTAATTCATGGTAGATGATGGGACATTTTGTTATAAGTATTTATATCTTGTTGGGGGAAAAAAAAGATTCTCTGAGTGCTGAATTAATAGTTATTTTCAATCCAACAGTGATTTTTTTTTTCTTTTTGAGCTACTGAGAAAATTTTATCTAATGGTTCTTCAGATATCAGAAACAGTATATTCTCACCAAATGAGGCATTTCTTATTTTCTTTAATGACTGCTGGATGTTGGGTGTTCTAGTTCACATTCTTACATCAGAGTGGTGATAAGTTCAACATACTTTAGGTAACTTCTAAGGCATGTAAGGAGAGTTTGAACCTGTAAAACTAGATTATGTTTTTAAACTGGTGATCCTGTTTGCACTTGCAGGAAATCACAGGTTCAGGAGAAGGCATACACACATATGATTGTAGATATCTACATATTTTCATTTGAGCCTGCAGATAAGTGTTTCCAAAATTATTTGAAGGTCCAAATCTGCAGGTCTAAAAAGAGTCACCAGGTTAAGGCTGTTTTAATTTATGCTTGGAACCAAACCAGCCCCAGGACTGTGGCATTAAAAATAAATACTATAAGTATCAACAAGTGAACTTGTGTCTCCTTAGTCTGTCTCATGTTCTAAGCACTAAATGTGCTTCCTCCATGGAAGGGAGAAGATTACATTTTAAAGATAAAAAAAAGATTTAATGCTTTTTCCTTTCTTCCAGATACCGTAGTGAGAAATGTATATTACAAGTACTTCCACCCTAAAGAAGCCCTGGTTTCTAATGGAGTTTTGAATAGGTAAGTGTTCTTAAGATCACAGAATAGTAGGGTTGAATGGGATCTTGAGGGACATTTGGTTTAACCCCCTGCATGAATACAGGAAAACTATTTCTAAATCACCTCTGAATCAGTGCTTGAGGTTCCACGGCTCTCTTGGGCAATTTGCTCCACTGCATTACTGTTCTTACAGGATGTAAACTTGTAAATAGTGCTGCTGTAAATCTGTGGCATTTTCATTGGTCTTTCATTGGTTGCCATCTCAGGGAAATCAGCAGAGCTGCAGGGAAAGCAGTACCTGGGATAATAGATGAAGATAGCAGTGGAAATGACTCTCAGTAAGTATCTTTTCCACATCAGCTTCTTCAGAGGAAAGATTGTGTGTGAGCCTGAACTGTTATATTACTGGCACAGTAGGCAAAGTGGCAGTGCTTTGTGAGATGTGAGATTCATGTCTGAGTGTTGGCTTCTTGTTCCTCAAGCTTCATGACTAAAAGGGAGGATTTCTTCATCAGTACATGCCAGCTCATCAAGAAGAAACAAGGATGGATTCTGACGGGAGACCTAACTGTTCCTCCTATCCAGTGCTGTATTGGGCACAGGACATAAAAGATAACCAAAATTGTACACAGCTACTTACTAAGAATTTCAGCCTGAAAAATTTGGAGGCCAACATCTTGTCGTGATCACCAAGATTTTAAATAATGTGCTTTTGTGAACATACAGCATACCTGAAACACAACTACAAGTTAGAGTTTGTATAGACTGATCTGGATTTGTACACGTTTCCAAAGCATGCATTCAAAATCTTAGCCTCAGCCTGTTTAATACTGAAGACATTACAGTAAAATCTCTGTTATCTGGCATCTCTGGGGTAAGGGGATTGCTGGTTATGTAAAAATTCCAAAACAGAGCGGAGGGGAAAGGCGGTGGCGGCTGCATGGGGAGGGGTGTGTGGTGGTGGCCGCCCATGGAGCAGTGGTAACGCAGGGTGGTGGGTAGCGGTGGCTGCTGCTGCATGCAACCTTTTCCCTGCCTCTGCTTCGCATCCGGCCAGCCGGAAATTCCAGTTAATAGAATTTCCGGTTACTTAAATGCTGAATAGCGGAGACTTTACTGTAGTAAAATTCTTACTTTTTTTTGCAGAGCTCTCACTTTTGTGTATCCGTTTGGTGCCACTCTGAATGTGATGAAACCGGCAGTGGCTGTTCTGTCCACGGGGTCTGTCTGCTTTCCACTAAATAGACCCATTCTGGCTTTTTACCAGCATAAGGTACAGTGTTGGATGAAATAAATTATTAATTCCTTAGTAAAGTAATTCTGATACTTTTTAACAATCTAATTTTATTTGACATCTTATTTACCTAGAGACTCCTCCCCAAATGTTCACAAAGAATGCAGACATCGTGTGAAGTATGAAGTAATTTACCTTGGATTGTATTCTGTAGTGATTTACTTAGCAATTGGGCATGGACACCCTGCCAGTTCTCCTAAGCTGGGTGCCTGCAGTAGACAGTGCTATAGTGTTACAGTGCTGCTTTGAGTCATCTGGCACTGTAGCAAGAGTGCTAGTTTGCACTGAGCAAAGTGCATCCCTTTTTTAAATTGATTTGAGTAACCAGACATAATAGTACAATGGTGTATAGTAACTCTTCACGTTGAGACATAACTTACCCAGGAGTGGAGTATCTTACACTAAGGCTGTGCATCATATGTCTGCTTCATTCATAAAGTTAAGTTTACTCTATAGTAAATATGTTGTGTGTTCACATCCAAAATTTATGCACATGTTGTATAAAACAGACTCCATCACTTGGGCAATACAAGTATATAAAGATTATGTGATTATGATTACAGAGTTGCTACCCATCTAAGGTTGAGTGAAACTAAGCATTTTCCAAATGACAGTCCACAGCTGTCACAGCGAGCAAAATCATGACAATTTTCTTACCTTTTATCTCCTGACATGCATGCATGGAGCAAAAGAATGCAGTTGTGATAATCTTCACAGGTAACAGACATACACATGTGCAATATGTTAATCAAATCACATGAAGGTGTCCGAATTTCGCTGGGTACAGCGTTGTTTCAACACTGCTACTGTTTAGCTGTGTTCTAATCTGGTTTCCTTTACCAGTTTGGGTAGATGTTTCCCCCCTGATAAGTAAAATAATCAAGCTATGCTATAGATTAAAACTTAAAGAATTTATCTTTACATCTGTCTTGTTTGTCATATGGATTAATAATTGAAATCTAACAGAATTGCAACATGGAAGAAAATCTCAGATTGTAGTGGCCAGAGAAACCAAACTGAAAGAATGAATTTAAACACAGTGGTTGCTAGCCTGTTCCTGTTACAATGTTAATGGGACATAAGCGAGTAATGTATTTTTTAAAGGCTTTATGTTAAAAAAAAAAAAAAAAAAAAAAAAAAAAAAAATCTCTAATTATCCCTGAATATGTAAGTGCCTTAGTACTTGATTTAGTGAAAACTTAGTTTTTATATGAAAAGTTGCTAATCTGATGCTCTCTTAAACTGATTTAGATTTTCAGTTACATGTCTAGACCAAAATTGTGCATGCAGATGCATCTAATTCATTATTTGTGTATGTGATCTGATTTCAGTGCATGCGTGAGACAGGAAAGGCACAAAACTGTCCAAGTTTTATAAACATTGTCTGCTTTTCCTAAAACGAGGGAACTTATTTGCATCAGAGTTCAAGTCATTCTGTTCTTGCTACAATAAAATACCATGAATACCTGAGGTGGAGAACCAACCTTTAATTGGGCATCTCTTGCTTTCATTTAACTGGAGGAAATTATAGGTAAAATGCTGGAAGCTGAAGATAATGGTAGAATTTCTGTTAGGGCAGAGAAAAGGATCAGAAAGAAAATACATAATTTGTTTGAGAGAAATGAGGTAGGATAAAGAATGGCAGTAGGTAAACTTAGCTGGGAAAGAAACAGTAGAGGAAGAGGATGCTATCCTGCTGCAGTGCTGTGCAGCAAAAAGCCACTTTCTTTGTTTTTAGCTTACTGGGGTCTCATACTGAGCTGTAGCTATAAATAGGAAGTAGAACTTTTCCATTTGTATGAGACTAGGGGTGCACTAATAAAGGTTTTTTGGGCCGATACGGATGTCCGATTATTAACGAGCCATATCGGCTGATACCGATTGATTGTTGATATGCAGTTTGGCAGCTTGCAGAGCAGCATCTGGCTGGTAAGTCCATTGGGGGAAGGGGTGGGAGGGGCCAGATCAAGGGCCCCGTGGTGAGGGAGGGATTAGGGCAGGGGCATGGGCAGGCTCTGCACAGCTGAGATGGGGCTGGGACAGAGCCGTGAACAGCTCATCTGGGGAACGTGCAGGGGCAGTTCCTGCTGCTTGGCACACTTCTGGGGGAGCTATGGGCAGTGTGTGCCCCCTGGATCTGTGTGTGGGCAAGGGCAGGCTGCCTCTGCTGGCTGGGGCCGGGGTTAGTGCCAGGGTCTTCCTGACAGGGGGGAAGGGTGGGGAGGATTGAGCCAGTCTGCACTTGGGACCAGCAGCAGTGCTGGGACGGGGGGCTACAGCAAATTTTTGGGGTGGCTACAACCTCCCCCCAACCCCTCTGTAGCCCCCACTCCCAACGCTGCCGCTGCCCACCCTGAGCCCAGCCTCAGCCAGCAGTGGCAGTCTGACCTCACCCCACGCACAGATCTGGGGGTCACATGCCCCCCATGGTTCCCTGGGGGTGTACCGAGTGGTGGGAGCTGCCTCCCCCTTCGGACGAGCTGCCTGCAGGTCAGTCCTGCACCCTGCCCCAGCTGTGAAGCACCTGCCCCAGCCTCATACCCTCCCTCACTGAGGGGGCCTCAATCTGCCCCCCCACGCCCATCTTCCCCAACAGATTTACCAGCTGGATGCTGCTGCTCTCCAAGCTGCCAGGCTGGCTGTATGCATGCTGCAGCTGCATGCGTGCATGTGGCATTTATCGGGGACATTATCAGCCACATCAGCCAAAAAAAGCCGATTGTCGATAATCTCAATTTTCCTTTTAGTGGTGCCGATATGATATGGACCAATGTATCGGTGCACCTCTAAATTAGACCATTATGCTTATTCTTTATTCAGTCTAAGAATACTGGAGCCCTATGTGAAGCACCTCTAACATCTTTGCAACCACAGTTGTATGCTTATATCATTTCCTATGAATTTAAGATTTGGTGCCAGCAAATAATGCTATTTCTTGTGTGTGTCTGTGGGGGAGAGAGGGGGGGAATCTTTTTGTAGAGGAATAATGTAGTTATTTCTTCATCTGACATTTTTAATTCAGCTAGTTAAATAGGTTTGGTTGTATCTTTTGCAACTCTTTATGAAAAGCAAAAATTACCTTTGTTAGCTAGCTTGGGGCTATAAAAATGATGTTGCATCATTCACAGGTTCAGACTGTGAAATGCTTAGGAAAGAGCTTACAGAAATTAGTTCTTTTACTTAAGAATCACTTAAGAGTCTCTCTTACCATATTGAAGAAAATGTCCTCTCTCTCTCTCTCCCTCCCTCCCTAAGAAAGGAGCCAAAATTGCAATGAGATGCAGACAGTTCACTTCTAGTTGATGCAGTCCTATCTGTTGCTCTGACTTGTGGGTAGTCTGCCAAGTGTTTAGTTTTTATTACTGAAGATCAGTCCTACTGTTAATTAGAAAGAATAAATTAGTTAAAGGAATATATTTATTTTATATTAATGCTGCACATGTAAGAGTATGTCTTCCTTAGATTTTCCTTTAATTAAATATCTGAATAATTTAGACTAGAGTAACAGTTCCCTCAAAAAATTGTTCTGGAATTTTTTTTTGGATGTATTAACTTCTTTGTTAACAGAACCGAGGTGGAAAACTGGCAGTTTTGGGATCTTGCCACATGTTCAGTGATCAGTATTTGGATAAAGAAGAGAACCGCAAGATCATGGTAAATGTTTAAAAATATACTTTAATGGCTTACAGGTATTTTATAGCATTAACAAGAACAGTCCAGAGTTGCAGTTTGTTTCCAGAGACTGGATACTAGCACTGCTATAAAATAATTAAGAGATGGAGATGCATGTATGATATAAATTTCTACAGGTAAAAATAGTGAGTTAGGTGCCTAAAAAATGTATTCTTTGTCTGGAAGAACTCTGGAAAGCTTTAGTAGCCTTTGCCCTCTGAATTTTTTCCTCTTTTTAATATGCAATATTTTTTAGGGTAATTGCTTAGCTAGAAATTACTTACAGTTAAAATGTGGCATCATGATCAGTAATGCTTTCCACTTTATAGCTGCTTTCACCTAAGAATTGTAAAATGTTTTTACAAAAGTACATGTATATCTTCATCATCTTTATCTGTAAAAAGGGGGGTGTTGGTTTAAGTGAGTTGGGGATTCACAGAGGTTGAATGACATGTCTGTGTTCATGTGAAAAAAGATATTTGAATATTTGGTTGTCTTACTATCATTCCTGTATTTTAAGTAGTGGACACATCATTTTACCTGATGTATAAGGTAAAAGGTAGTTTGGATGTTCTTTCATCTGTATGGGTTTTGATATAGGGCTGTTTGTGTCTTTCTGTCTTTTTTTTTTGAACATGCTTATAGTTAAAGGAATAATTTTGACTGGCTGATGAAATTCTAGATCATTTGAGAACTGTCCTGTTTGTATTGCTGTTCAAACTCATTGAGGATGTAATTGCAAATCAACCTTTCCTAAATAAGTGCAACTCGTATGTAGTTCCTGGACTTGCAATCGCCTACATCAATAACTTTTCCTCAGGGTCCTTTTCCAGTACTGTAGCTTATAGTATATACTATGCAAGAATTCTTTATAAAAGTACAAGTCAAAAATCATTTGCCAGTTATCAGAATCATCTTTAAAAGCATTTATGGATTTCTGGAAATTTACATTTTTCAGGTGAACTAAATTGTCTTTGTTCTCATGCCCTGTACAATATCTGTAGAATACTGCAAATTTTGTATATCTGAAGTATGCAGTTATCCAGTATATATCCCTTTGCCTTGATATATTTATATAAGTAAACACGATCTGTGCTCCTATTACCTAGTTTGTTCTGAGATAATTCACTGTTATGTTAGAGTTCTTTCATGTTTACTCCTTCTCTTCTAGTATGTTTCATCAGTTGGATTTGGTAAGGAATTTAATTGTTTAACATTATAGTAAATTATTCAGATACTCCAAAAACCCACTGTGTTTCCTCAGGATGTACTTTTCCAATGGCTCACAACATCAGACATCCATTTAAACCAGATTGATGCAGAGGACCCAGAGGTAAGAGATGTGGTTTAGTAAATTATTTTTTAATCCAGCAGGGTTGGTTTAACTGAAGGATCTGCTTGGTACACCATAACTAAAGACTATATCAATGTTATTACTTACCTTGCTTTTCAAGATGGTTGGGGGAGGGAGTACGTGTGGCATAAAAATTAATAGATTAGGATTCATTATTATTTGGACTGTGATTTAGTGTAAAATTTCAGCCATGGAGGTGCATGTTTCCAATTTGCCTCATGTTACTAGCCCTCATATGCCGGATACATTAGTTTAGTTTAAATATTCTTGAAAATTGGACTGCTCCAATGTGAAACCTGGGCATCTGAGCTTTGACTTAGCTTCTAAAGTGTTGAAGATCTTTGTGAGCCCATCCGTCCAGAGGGATAACATGGTTAAGGCATGCCAGTTTGTGCAAGCAGTGGCATACAAAGGAGTAATGTGACTAGCATCTCATCCAATCACCTTTTGGTTTCCCAATCCATATAACCATGATGAACCCAGTTACAATTTGGTCAGCTGGGGGTAGCTTTTGGCGCAAGGCTGGAGTAGGCCTTGAACACTTGTCTATAGCAGGGTGCCTTAACTGCTCTTTTGCTATACCCCTTACTTCAGGAGTAAGCATGGAGCAAATAGTACGTGTATGTAGCTAAGCAGAGATTAGCCAATTAACAAGTTTGTGGAATCTTTCTTAAACAAAAAAAAAAATGTATACAAATGTTTCTTCTATCTTTATTTAAAAATACCCTGCATGCAGAAGGGAAGAGAGAAGTGTTGTATAAACAGCACATGCAATTTATTCTTGAAACCTCCATTTAACAAGCTTGCAAGCCTTTGAACAGCAGTGATACTGGTATATGTGAAGCATCTGTTTGTTCTTGAAGCACAGGAGGGTGGAACTGTGCTCCTTGTTCATTCAGAATAACAAGAATTGAGCTGTCTTCACTCTGCCTTTACAAGCAAGAGCCTGACAGAAATTCAAATATATCATCCCTGCAGCAGTTGGAGCAGGATTAGAGTGACGAGCGCTCACATCTGTCTTTGCATAACAAAGTAAGGCTATTTGGAATAGCAAGGGTGCAGGACAGCTATTACTGCAAAATAAAATAAATAAATTTAGCTGTCAAGTATTTGCTGATGCTGATCATTACAACAACTTTGCTTTAATGTATTATTTTTGCCCCCTTTCTGTTTACAGAAATCAAACGGTTTTTATATAAAACAAGTACTTCATAACACTCCTAAAACCAAATCCAGGGTCTGTAGCATGATGAATAATATAACACATGAGGAAATGTGATAAAGCTAATTTTTCTTTCTTCACTTAAATATCATCAAGAAAGAACGAGGAAGAGAAAATTTCAGCTACATGAAAATCCCTTCACTTCTAACAATGTTATGGTGTTCAGATTTCAGACTATACAATGCTTCCGGATACAGCCACACTGTCTGAGCGACTGCGGGTATGTCTGCAAGAGGGAGAGGAGAATCCCCGAGACTTCACTACGCTTTTTGATATGTCTATTTATCAGCTGGATACAACTTCCCTTCCTAAAGTGATCAAGTCAGTAGCCATGAATTGTGGTTTTTTTGGTTTTCTTTTTTTGGGGTATGTTTAAGCCTATGTTTAATAAGGAAAATGTGTTTAATATTTTAATATATTAAGGAAATTACTGTAGTGTGTTTTGCAGATGAATACACTGAACTTTTACCCTAGGACACTTGGGTGTAAACATACCATGGGTCAAAAAAAATGACAGCCTGACTTTGTCTTATTGCAGTGATTCTCAACATTTCCACACTCAAGCCACCCTTTGGTAGGCTTCTGGTCCGTCCGTCGTCGTGTCGTTCCCCCCTCCCGAAAATGCTAGCTCTTAGTTTTCATGCTTTTTTTTTTACTACAGAAAAGTATTAGAGCAATTCTTCTTTTGCAGAGAACTCAGAAATATTACAACAGGTCAGAATGTTGTTAACATTATGAATTTCTGTTTGAAATCTCTGGGTTTATCTTGTGAATCACGTTTGTACACCTAACAGTGCTAACATTGCATAGCATCCTTGAGGGTCTTAAGGGACTCCAGGGTACTGTGGCACTGTGGTTGAGAATCACTGTCTTATTGAATGCTTGCCTGTTTTCTAGAAGCTTTGTAGTTGTCATAGAGATTAAAGTTATGTTATTACAGTAGTCATTATGGATCCTGTGACATTTATTTGCACAAACAGGGTGTTTAGCTTGGCATTCTGCACAAATTTCAAGTTCCCAGGTTGCAGGTAACACAGGCAGGTGCTTAAGCATTCATGCTATTATTTTTTCCTTCTTTCAGACCTTGCCTTTTTCTGTGTTGTAGATCTTATGAACAGCTAAATGTAAAGCATGAACCTCTTCAGCTCATTCAGCCTCAGTTTGAGACTCCGCTACCTGCACTTCAACCAGCTGTGAGTAATCTTACATGCGACTGACACCCAAGATTATCCTCCTGCTTGAGGCTTAGCTTGATCATCTCCATAGCTCCATACTTTAAAGAAAGTAGAGCATTAAGCTCTTGAGACACTTGGTACACTCCAGAGCCTACATTTTAAGAAGTAGACCTATCTTTCGGCTTGTGAACTAGACTCTAGTCCAGTCTTGTGATTTGAGAACCACTTCCAAGGTGCATACAGGGATTAAGCAAAAAGCTGCCAGCAGAACTCATTACTTGCAATTGTGCTTTGAATAAGCCATACATCTAGAATTTTCTTACATCTCCTTGCTTCCTGTGTACTCCTGTGACCAGTGGTGTCCAGCTTTCTCAGTGTGAAGATGAAACATGTTATTTCATAATGCTCAGTATCTTATCTATTTCCCTGGGTTCAGGAAGTCAGACAGGCTTCCATCCTACCCTCAGTGCTCCCACAGCCCAGCAGGGAATTATAAAATGAAGCAGCAAGAATTGTCCTTTTTACTCTATCCCATTTTCCCTTAGTAGTGTCATACCAAAGGAAGAATGTCTCTTCTCTTCAACGCATACAAAATTTCCAGTGTCGATGCATTTATCCATTTAGATATACTTAACGTACATCAACCACTCTCTTCCATGATCTCTGCTTCCTTCAGTCTTTTCAATTACAACCAGACTTTGTAATTTGTAAAGGGGGAAAGATTTTCCTCTTTCCTCATAACATGGCCAAGAAACTCCAACTGTCTCTTTCTGATGTTAGTCAGCCGCTTCCTTCTGCTGCCTGCTCTTAACAAAATATCTTCATTTGAAGTATGACTTGTCCAGCGTACCTTCAAGATGCATCTTGAGAACCACATCTCACTTGCTTCAATTCTTTTTTCCATACTTGGCGATATTGTCCACCATTCTGATGCATACATGAGGACTGGTATAACAAGCAATCCAAAGCTCTTAACTTCATCCCCATAGACATTTTACTATTTGTCAGTATCTTTTTCATTTTCAGAAATGTGTCTTTTGCCATCCCTATTCTCTGTTTTATTTCATGACCACATTTACCATCTTGATGTTATCTAGCTTCTCAAGTAGTTACATTTATTGGCCTGCCTTATCTGTTCCTTTTTCACTTTAATGTTGCATACAGAAATTATTTTCTTCTTTGTAATTACCATACATTCTGTTTTTCTACAGTTGATACTTAAACCCTTCTTTTCACTTTCACTAACAACTGTATCTAACATTCCTTGAAGCTTCTCTTCTGAATCAGCTATTAAGATTGTGTCATCAGCATAATGCAAGTTGTTCAAATTCTGTCTGCCAGCGATCAGCCCTGGTAAATTCTCAATCTCCCTCAGTATTTTTTCTCACTATACAAGTTGAACAAGTCAGGTGAAAAAACAGTCTTGTCTCACACCCCTCTTGATTTGGATGAAATCACTTAGTTCATTTTGTGTCTTCACTGCTGCAGTTTGGTTCCAATAGAGGTTTCTTAAAATTCTCAAGTCTTTACCATCAATATCCAGTTCTTTCAGCATATTCATTAACTCCTCATGCTTAACTCTATCAAAAGCTTTGGTATAATCAATAAATCACAAAAAAAATCCTCATTTCTGTTGCTCTGTCTGAAAGCATTTGTACTATGCAGATAGCATTTCTTGTACCTCGACCTTCCACAAAATCACATTGAACTTTTGCAGTCTCTGGTCTTATTCTACTTCTAGCTGTGGACCTTTGTCACATGGCCCATTAAACTGATGGTTCGATGGCGTTCGCATTCAGTGGCTCTAGGTCTTTTGGGGAGTGCAATAAAGATCAATTTACTGAGGTCCTGGGGTATTTCTCCACTTTCATAAATCTCACTGATAACAGTTGTTAACTTTTCTATACCAGACTCTTCCAAACATCTTATTTGTTCTGTCATCTAGTCCTGTAGCTTTATTAGTTTTTATTTGGTTGATAACTGTTCATACGTCTAACTTAAGAATTTTCAAACTGTCTATGTTCTTAATAGATGGCTTTTGTTCTTGACTGTCATGGAATAATTGTTCAATATACTCTGTCCATTTTTTTTAAATATTTGTTCTCATTCCATAATGACATCGCTGTTCTTGGCTTTTATACATCCCTTAGCAGTACATCCTCCTTTGTCTGTGGTGTCTTTGATATTCCTGTACATTAATGTAACATATTTATCCTTTTGTTTTTCTATCTCTCTACATTTTTCGTTACACCATTTTTCCTTTTTCTTCGTTACCCATTGATCAAATTCTTTTGTACAGTTTCTTATACCCTTCCAAGGTTTTCTTCTTTCTTCCATAAATTCAAGGATTTCTTCAGTCATCCCTTTCTGTCTCTTTTGCCTTACTTTTAATGGAATAACCTCCTTGGCTGTTTCAGCTAGTGCTTCTTTCAAAATTTCCCAGTTTTACATATTTCCTTTATCTTCAAGTTCTTGAAAGTGATTCTTGACTGCGTACCTTTCTTTAATTAGATCTGTTTCCATTAGAATTATATAATCAAGTTTTTTGGTGCTTTTGGTTTCTTAAGTTTCCTCAACCTTATCCTGATGGCAGCGGAAGGCTGGGGCTAACGGGGCTAGTCCCCAAACGCAGTGCAGTGGAAAGGGCCACGGGGCAGCCCACTTGTGGGCTCTGGTTGACTGCATCAGGAGTGGGGAGGGGCACGGACTCAGCCAGGATTGCAGCCCGGTGTGTGGATCACTGCCCAGCATGGCAGGCATGTATCAGTCTATTCTATGAAGGGGCAGGGGCTGGGATGGGGAGGGGAGGGGGTAGATTGAGGCCCCCACATTGAGGGAGGGAGTAGGGCAGGGACAGGAGCTGGGGTGAGTGGGGCCCTGGCTGGGTTGGGTTGTGAGATGATCGGAGCCCAGGCAGCTTGTCCAGTGTGGGGGGGCTCCCGCTGCTGTGATTACCCTGGTGGAGGCCTAGGGGGCATGTGCCTCCCTGATCTGTGCATGCAGTGGAGGCAGGCTGCCTGCTGCTGTTGCCTGGGCTCTGCGCCCCATTGCCTCTGGAGCCATGCAATGCCATGTGCATGCTGCTGCTGGGCTGTGAATGGGCCCCCCTGCCTGCCTGGCAGCAGGAAGCACAGGGCGTCGCATGGCTCTCAAGGCACCGGCAGTGGGGTGCAGAGCCCAGTGTGCAGTGGCAACCTGCCTCTGTCTGGCATACAGATCGGGGAGATATGTGCACCCCAGACCTCTGCTGGGGTGTGCATAGCAGCAGGAACCTCCCTGTGCTCCTGGATGAGCTGCCTGGGCTCCAATTATCCCATGACTTGGCCCAGCTGGGGCCCCATTCACTCCTGCCCCTGCCTCTGCCCCACCATGGCCCATCCTCCTCCCCTCGCCCCTTCCCCCACAGACTTATCTGCTGGGTGGGGGGTGCACATGCACGCACACATGCACACACTGTCCCCCAAAATAATTTTTTCTCTCTCCGCCTGTGCTTGATGGTGCATACTACAGGTACATGATCAGTTCCACAGTCAGTCCTTGGGTAAGTTTTTTTCAGTTGTTGAACTACGTTTCTGAATCTTCTGTTGATGGTGATGCAGTCAACTTGGTTTCTAATGTATCTCTAGGATCTCTACATGTATACCTTCTTCTCAGGTGGTGTTCAAACCATTTGTTCATAATGACTTGATCATTTGCAACACACCAGTCAATCCATCTCTCTCCTCTTTCATTTTTCTCTCCAAGTCCATGAGGTCCAACAATATTATCCACTTGTTCACAACCAACTTTTGCATTTAGATCTCCCATCACTATTACCACTTCTTGAGGTTTGTATTGCTTTTTTGCTTTAAGATCTTCATAGAAGCCATCAGTGTCCTCTTCCCCACTTTCAGCTGTCAGTGCATAGACTTGTATGTTGAAAGGTTTAGCTGTTATTTTCATGAGCATCACTATCAGATATTGCCCAAAAACTATGTAAACATTTTGAGGTTACTTCATCCAAAACCAATCCAACTCCTCTTTTGTGCATCTGACTTCCTGAATAGATGATCTTCACATCTTTTAAAACAATAATTCCAGCCTATTTTCAACATGTTTCTCACAGACCTAGAATATTGATATGTAATCTCTTCATTTCATGCTTGATGTCCAATTTCCAATTTGATGTAGAGTTCTCACATTCCACGTTGCCACTTTGACTGCTTGTTTTTGAATGCGGACAGTAGTATGTTGACGGTCTGGAGTCACCTGTCTCACACAACTATCCTTACTGGGCGAGGTGTACTTACCTCTTCTGTCAGGGACCCCCTTCATGCCATTGTGTGATGATTTTTTTTTTTTTCTTTCTTAATCCTTGAAAGACCATGGATTGTGCTTGGCAAAATACTGTAGTAGGCTGTCAGTCCTTGCTTCGGGTTGCAGTCTTGAGCAAGTCTCCTTTATTGTTGTCCCAGTTGCACCAGGCATCTGCCAGATGAGTTGATCCACCGTCCTGCACCCCCAACAGCTTCAATATTGGGGAATAGTGGCTAATACAGTGTGTCCAAGCACAGTTTTGAAGAGCAAGCTTGGCACAAAAGACCTTGGCTCCAGTTGTTTCTTGGGGAAATATAGGCTTTAGAAACCAAACCCCCAGCTAGTTTGATGGATGGAGGAGAGGAATTAGGAAGAGGTACATACGTGTCTTACTCCAACCCCAACCCTGGATAGAAAGATGCTTAAAGAAACTGCAGATTTGCACTCTGTTTCTGAGTCTCTATATAGGAATAACCATATAGGATCCAGCTCTTGTGCTGGATTTTATTTAAAAAGAGGCCACATTAAAGAACAGAGCACTCAAGGAAGAATGTTTTTGGTATGTTCCTGACAAGGCGGGGTATAGAACACTCAGTTATTTTTATGAAATGCAGATTAAATTTTCCAAATGCATTCAGTCTCTTGTGGCGTTTTGACTTCTCCTCGACTTTCAAAAAACCTTTCCTGGGATCCAAGCTGAAAGCTGTTTCCTAGTCACCTGTAGCATATAAGAAAAACTCTTTGCAGTAACCTACACTAAATCTTTTCTTTTAGGTTTTTCCGCCTGCTTTCAGAGAGTTGCCTCCTCCCAGTCTGGACCTGTTTGATTTAGATGAAACTTTCTCCTCTGAGAGAGCCCGTCTTGCACAGATTACAAACAAGTGTAAGCCAGACCAAGTTTTTAACTTTTGATTTATATATTTGTACAGCAATCCTGTTATTTTGATACAGTAAGCACATGGAACTGAGCTATGGAACCTATTAATATTTCACGAAGGGTTAGAAGTGCTGTTTGCATATGGGGTCCATGGATTACACTCATCTTACATGCATGACCTCGTGCTATTAAGGTGTTAATCAGCAACAGTGCAGGGTACCCCCTCTTTCTTTCTCTTCCAATTGTTATCCAGGTGCATGATCTTCAAATCTGCAGTAGCTAGGAGAGTGGTTCTTTGGGCCATGTAGCTCATGGGGTCCTTGGTTCCCCTCACTAATTTATGATGGAATTTACTTTAAAAAACTGAGTAGCAAACTGTAGGAGTGACCTTTCATGATTACCTATATCTGAGACTGCTGTTAACCTCAGCTGATAGTTTTTATTTTAATAGGCCTCTTATCTTACATCTGCTTCCTGCTTTACATTTTATGCATAAATCATTCTGCACAACTATGTAGCTGAATTATTTTGCATCTTGTTTCCATTTTAAAGTAGAGGTGGTTATCAAGCCTTTGTGCACATCTTAGAACAGGATCTCAGAGCAGGATCATATGTTGCAAGCTGTAAAACTGTTTCCGGACATTTCACTGGTATGGATTCAAGTTGTTGATTTCCTGAAATGCTTAATTGCAAATATTGTTGAGCAGTGCAACTTCAGTCAACTGGTGTACATGTGTATGTGACCTATCTGTCTCTTTCTGTGGATCCTCATTAGGTACCGAAGATGACCTAGAGTTTTATGTCAGAAAGTGTGGTGACATCTTAGGTGTAACAAACAAGCTCCCAAAGGAGCAGCAAGGTGCAAAACATATCCTGGAGCATATATTCTTCCAAGTGGTGGAGTTCAAGAAGCTGAATCGGGTACACTTGTTTTAATAACTATGCTACTAATGAATGGAGAGTGTGGTGTCAGCTGTGGTACTTATTTTCATCTGTTCAGTGCTCATGTTTGTCTTGGGCAAAAAGTACTGAGATACAGTGAAGATTTTGTCCTGTAGTGAGCAAGATGGGCACATGTGATTCTAACTACTAACAACAAGTAGTCTACGAAGAAGTCTGTTACACATCTCTATTCATGTAGTCCCTCCTGTTTCAAAACCCAGCATTGTTCTATTTGCTATTATTTACTTTGTACAGCATCATTTACAGACATTTGTAATGCAGTGCCATGCAAAGCTACCCAGGCTGGCTCTGAATGAGAGAGTCTGTTTTTCAAGCAAACAAATAAGCTAGCTAAGTACTAGGGCTGTGCAAAGCTTTGGTCGCTGATTCGATTTGGAGGAACTTTGGCCCGATTTGGTGCCTCAATCTCCGAATCCGTATTGAATCGGGAGACCCATTAATCTCTCTCAATCAAATCGGGAGCCTCTGATTCGATTCGGAGAGATTCGATGATACCGGCCATAGACACAGCTTTATTTGTTTTTTTTCTATATACCTCAAGATCCCAGGCACGGCTCAAGAATGTTGAGGTGGTGGGGCGGATGGAGCGTCCCACAGGAGCGTGGGGGAATCCCTTGCACACTTGGCGGCGGACCCGGAAGTATTTCTGGTCCACTTCTCAGTCTGCTGCAGAGTGCACGGGGGGGGGTGGGCCCCCAATCTGCCTGCCAGATAAGACCGGCGCTGGGCTCAGCCCGCACCCAGCACCAGGAAGATCAGTGATGCTGCTGGTCCTAAGTGGCAGCACCTGGCTTCTGTCAGCCAGCAGGCAGATTGGGGGCACACACTCCCAAGAGGACTCTGGCACAGCCCCCGCAGTCCTCCCGGGGGTGCCAGCGGGCCCCCGATCTGCCTGCCGGCTGACAGGAGCTGGGTGTTGCCTCCTTGGGCCAGTGGGGCCAGGGCAGATCAGCTTGTGTGGGGACCTGCCACCCCGATCTTGGGATGGGGGAGGGTCCCCACAACAGCTGATCTACCTTGGCCCCATACCAGAGCTGGCTGTAGGAGGATGCGAGGCCCGGGGAAGATAAGCTCGTGTGGGGACCCTTCTCTGCTCTGGAATCGGGGCAGCGGGTCCCTGCACGAGCTGATCTGCCCCGGCCTTGCTGGCCTCAGGTGGCAGCACCCCGCTTCTGTCAGCCAGCAGGCAGATTGGGGGCCTGCCGGCACCCCTGGGAGGGCTGTGGGGGCTGTGCTGGAGTCCTCTTGGGTGTGTGCGCACCTGATCTGCCTGCTGGGTGACAGGAGTTGGGTGCTGCTGCCTGGGGCCAGCAACAGCACTGATCTTCCTGGTGCTGGGTGCAGGCTGCACCCAGCACCAGTCTGTCATCTGGCAGGCAGATCAGGGGTCGCAGCCCTGGGAGGACTCTGGCACAGCCCCCGCAGCCCTCCTGGGGGTGTGGGTGAGCCCCCAATCTGCCTGCTGGTTGAGAGGAGCCAGGTGCTGCTGGCTGGGACCGGCACTGAAGCCAGTAAGCCTGGCTTCGAAACTTGAAACGTTTTGAGTTCCCTTGTTTAGTTTCAAAGCTGTTTCGAAACAGCTTTGAGTTTCTTTTTGATTTCACTGTTTCAAGCTTGATACGCATCGAAACAGTTTCGAAATGAAACACTGGACAAAATTTCGCACAGCCCTAATATTGTAGTATATTTTGTCATGCATCCCATCATTAGAAATTTTTTTAGGACACCTGCTAAATAATAGCATGGCTGAGTTGCATTGTGTGTAGTTTTTTTAGTATCTGTAGTTTTCATTTGTATGTTCCACAAACTAATTATTATTTGCTTTGACACATGGAAATAGTTTTAATGTGTGTAGGTTGGGAAGATGGGATTTCCCCTACAATGGTTGGCTTTATGTAAGCCCCTTGTTTGTGGATCTGCAGTGGTTTTTAAAGGAATTAAGCATTCAGACCACTAGATATAGCACATGAACCATACAGGATGTTTCTGCCAAGTACTGGTTATTGATTGTGATCTGTGTGCAAGTAACAGATGAACCCTGAATTTGGTAATGCAGATTTCACACCAGAGTTGTTAGCAATTGAGAATACTGCATTTCTGATAATTTTGTATATCAAGTTCAGGGCTCCTGAGTCAGTTTACAGCTTCTCAGTTCTTACAGTAAGGTGTAGTCCAAATCTACATTTATAAAGGTAAAACAGACCTTTAGAGCATGGGGTGTCAAACGTAAGGCTTACAGCCTGGATCCGAGGCCCACAGGGTTGGTAGAGGAGGTGCAGGACAAGCTGGGGTGGGGCTTGCTGCCCAAATCCATGGGTGGGAGCTCCACTGGGAATGCTTGTTTGGGATGGTGGTGTGTGGACCAGTAATAGCTGTTAACTCCTACTACCACTGCTGGCCCTGCATCCCAATCCAACCTGCAAGCAGCCCTGTGGCTGGATCTGGTTTGGGGGACAGCATGAGTTTGACACCCCTGCTTTAGTGCATCCAACTGTTACCTTGTATTAAATGTCCTTTTAACTATTTTCCTCCTCATTAAGGAACATGATATTGACACAAGTGAAGCTGGATTCCAGAGTGGTTACTGAAGCTGGCTTTTCCCATCAGTGAAAGAGGGAGATCTTAGCAAAAATATTTACCTGTGCTTTCCATTGTAAATTTACTGTTTCTCTCTGTTATGAACTCTGTAAATATGTATAATGTCTAAAAATGATACTTTTTAATGTTAAATGAAAAATTGTCATATAAATAGCACTTGCTTTCCAGAACCTTTTATAGAAAACAAACATTCCTTATTTAATCTTTTTTCTACTCCTTTTTATTGAAGCTGTAATTTTGTAATCATTGAAATAGTCTTATGTTAAACAAAATCTTCTTTTAAGTCTTATTTCTGCCTCTTGTATTTATTTTCCTGTCTCTGATATTTATTTACTTTTGGAGTCTGTTTGGATACAGAACCTTTATGCTGTTTACAAATGCTTGCATTCCTAATTGCATTGTAGAAAAGATCACACGCTTGTGCTTGTGTTGCACTTTTTGAGCTGGGGAGCAGCATATGTAGCCATAAATAGACTTGGAACTAGAACTCATACAATTTATATACAATATGCTAATCTACCACCCTGAGGCAGCCTCAAGCATTTGAACAAAAAATGAAAAAAAGAGGTCCCTAGTGTGTATTTATTTATGGATTTATTCGATCCTTGGGCTATTCACCAACTAGTCATTGTGACAGTGAACTAGTGCATGAACAACGAAAGGAAAGTGAAGTTGACTGGTTCATTAGAAATACACAATCTTAGTGTGTGTAGAAAACCAAGAGCATGAATGTGGAAAAGGAATGAGATACTAAACATTCTTGTAATATTAACAACACACTGTGCCACTGTTCATGTTGGGGTAAGGACATTCATTTTTCTTATCTATGTTTTTAACTTCACATTGCACTTCATGTTAGAATAATTGAGAATTGTATGCATCTGAGGCAGAAAGCCACAGCTGTAATTATTTCTTTTCTTTTTTCAAGTCTCCCATGTGGCCTCCTTTCTCTGGCACCAGCTTTCTGTCCAACTCTGCCATCCCTTTACCTTTGAAGTCACTTCTAACAAACATTCCTTTTATCTTCTTGAAAAACTTTCATCTTCTCCAAAACACTTTAGAATGCAGGGGTGCTAAAATAGCAGTGACATTGCATTTCTAGGGTGAAGGGATCTATTCTTCCTTCCCCAAGCATCTAGCATGTTGATGGTATGCAGATGCATGTTATACACTGCTGGGAAGAAGTGTATGCAACTTCATTGATTCCAAAGATTTTTACTTGCTTATGTCATTTTTTCTTTTTTTATAAACAACAAAACTATCTAAAAGTTCTACAGTTGTCTTAAGACACATACAATCTAATGTCCTAACTCTGTTGCACTGACAGTAGTGAAAAGGTAAATAGAAAAAGCTGATCTGACCAAAAACTATCATCTGGCTGCTATGGTTTTTATTTAAAAGTACTCCTCTCACTCAAATGCACCAACTTGTATGTTCTCTGTGAATGTTTACACAATAACCCTAGTGTTTCCAAAACTATCAATCCCACCCAGCAAGTTAGTGTAGGCTCTAGTTGCTACTTATCCATCCAGCCTGTACTATTCTTTTGTGTTTATAGTTAAAGACTAAGTAATTTATTTATTTATTTTTTTGCAAAACTTTTCAGACTTGTTTTGCTGTCTGTTCTTGATGTTTTCACAACATGTTTTAGAAGCAAGGCAGCTGAGGGGTCAGAGTGTGTAACCAGCACCATAACTAGGATTTGTCCTTCCTTATCTCTGCATCCATCATGGCTTCTGTACAGTAAGAATGAGCAAAAATGCCTTTGCCTATTTCAATCTAAATGGTTGCAAGTTGTAGACCAGTGCCACTTGTACATATGATGGGGGTTTAGTTCTCTCTAAACTGAAATGGTGGGTTTTTAACAATTCAAAACCACCAACTTAAAAACCCACTGTTTCAATTTAGGGACTTCCATCACCGTGACAGAACAGTGAAAGCCTGCCAGCAGCTCACCCCCCACCGGGTCACGGGTAAGCTCTGCCAGAAAAGTGGTGACGGGCCGGATCCTTTTATTATTTTTTTTTTCCTGGAGCCTGTCCGTCTCTCCCACAGCTGGGGTACAAGCTGCCAGCAGGACTTGAGCTGCAGGGGGGGGAGGGGCTGGTCCTTCTCTTTTGTGGTGGCCCAGGGGGCATGACTGCTTCTCCCTCCCCTGCAGCTCAGGGGCTGAGCGACCCAGAGGCAGCTCGTACGGACAGGCTCTGCTGGTAGGGAGGGGAAAGCAGCAAAGGGCCTGATCCTTTTTTCCTCTGAGCCTGCCCACATCTCTTGTGGCCAGGGGTCAAGCTGCTGGCAGGCTGAGCAACCCTTCCCCAGTTGTGGGCTGCCCCAGTGCTTCAGCTCCAGCCCCCCCCCCCCTCCCCCCTGCACAGTTGTGGCACCCCCAGGTGGGCTGCTAGTGGGCAGGTGCTGCCTCTACAGAGGGAAGGTCCAGGGCCGCTGCAGCTCGGGGCCTGCGGGCAGCTCACCTGCCAACCACGGGAGAGGCAAGCAGGCTCTGCTGGACAAAACCCCCCCCTCCAAAATGGGCCCCTTGCTGCTTTCGCCTCTGCAGAGCCTGCCCACGCAAACTGCTGCCAGGTTGCGCAGCCCCTGAACTGTGGGGGGGCCCAGTGGTTCCCCGCAGTGGGGCTGCCCAGGCGGGGTATTAGTGAGCTGGTGCTTCCCCAGCTCGCAGGCAGCACCCAGCCCAATCCAGTGCTCAGGGAAGCTCGGACTTGGCTGGTTTGCCACGCCCTGTGTGTCATCCCTGCTGCTTGGGACTGCCTGGGAATGAGCTGGCTTGCCCCTGGGGCAGTGTGGGAAGGTGGCAGGAGGGCAGCTATGTATGCTGGCGGTTGGAGAAGGCAGCAGGGATCATGCATGGGGCACTGAAAGCCCACCAAGGCCAAGCTTGCCCAAGCACCATCCCTACCACCTTCGGATATATCTCTGCAATTTGTTTCATCATAAACTAAAATATACTTTTTACTTTGCTATGTAACAAAGTAATTTAAAGCAAAATACAGCATGATGAAATTAAAACAAGCCACTGCAGGTGTAAATGGTGATGCCATTAAAGTGGTGCAAAAAGGTAATTAAGCTGCTTCAAAGGCCAATTTAGTCACATCCCAGGATTTTCAGGGTTAAAACACAGAGCTAATACTGCACTTTCTTCCTTAAAGCAGAAAGTAGCATGCTAGAGGCAGACCATAGTACCCAAGCACCTTTGCTAGGAGCCCTCTCCTTTCAGTGGAAGGGCTCTGGATTATGTTGAAGTTATCCTTTCTTTCTCATTTAATCCATTGAACACGAGGAAACCATTATACATCCTGCAGCATATGGATGGGGGTTTAAGAGCTGTAGCTAGTGAGAAGATGGGGATTTACACAATCACAGTAGTCTTAACATTCAACAACAGTAGAACACAATAGTTAAAAAATAGGGGGCTGCAGTTTTAGACTGGCTTCAGCACTGTAAGCCCCATTTCCTATACTGCTACCAAATAAATAAATAAATAAAATGGCAAAAATTATAGGTTGTTTTTCACAAGTAGAGCTGTAGTTTAGGTAGGACTGAGTTTTCACTGAAGCCATTCAACCCCTTTCACAAGCTGGGCCTTCTGCATAGTTGTTAACTTTTGGGAATTACAGGCTTTAAATTACTTTAATCCCCATCTGTTATCCTCTTTTGTGTTACTTACTGCACAGCCTCTTGCTGCTCTACTTGTTCACCCCATGATAATCTGCACACCCCCTGCCTCCTCCCCCTACAGAGTTTCAGGGGAATTCCATTTTCAGTACCATCTTTCTCGCCTCTAGATGTGTGGGAGCTGTTCCATCAGAATCCATTCTGCTACCAAGAGGGAGCATTTTCTTTTCTCTCATTTTCCTAGCACCTTAACAGGAGCTTTCCACTAACATTAGTCAAATCTGATAATGGTTAGTCTGATCCCTCCACCTTCTGGTGGACTGTCACTTTAGAAACAACCCAGCCATAATTTGAGAGAGGTCAAGTACATCTGTTGTCATAATATGAAGGCTGGATCTGGGTGAGGCCCATTGTTGTTAGTGTCCAACAGCTGGAGTTGTACAGATGGAAATGTAATGATGGTGGAAAGACTATTCAAAGTTACACCTATGCAGAGAAATATAGGGCCTTTGTACATGCAACAAAATTGGCCTTTAAAGGAGCTTAAGTGCCCTTTTGCACCGTCTTGATAGTGTTGATATTTACATGCTTGGCAGCGTATTACACTTTAAATGACTTTTTAGCATAGCAAGGTAAAACCCATCCAAGGTATTTTAGTTTGATACCTAACAAAGTGCAATGGTGCATAGGGCGCTGGAAGCGGATGTGGTTGGGGAAGCTCAAGCTTGGTGGGCTTCTAGTGCCCCATCCCTACTGCCTTCTCCCACCACCAGCATACCCAACCCCCCTCTTGCAGCTCAGCCCGAGGGGCAAGCCAGCTGTTTCCAGACAGCGAGAAGGTGGTGGGGATGGTGCATAAGGTGCTGGAGCTTATCTGTCTCTCCTGGGGGGCCAGCTGTCCTGCTGCTTCCGTCTGTGGTGGCAGTGCCCCCCAGGCTGCACCTGCTCACTGGCACCTGGCCCAGGTGGTCCCAGGGGGCAGCACCACTGCAGAGGGAAGTACTGGGCCCTGTGCAGCTGAGGCAGGCTGGCAGCTTAGGGGTGTGGGGCAAGCTGCCAATGGGCTGAGTGCTCCCAGAGCTGCAGGGGACCCCGGTGCTTCCCTCCATGGTGGTGCCCCCCCCAGTGGCACCTGGCCACTGGCACCTGGCGCAGGTGCCAGTGGTGCCCCTCAGGCAGCACCTGCCCCTCCCCTCCCCTCCCCCCCAAAGTCAAGCATGCCTGCATGAGCTGCCACTAGGTCCCACAGCCCCCAAGCTGTGTGGGGCTTGGTGCTTCCCTTGGGAGGTGGTGCTGCTCCCTAGGACTGCCTGGGGCAGGTGCCACCTGAAAGGTGCCACTGCAGAAGAAAGGATGGGGATGCCCCACAGCTTAGGGACTGCTCGGCCACCAGCAGCTTGCTTGACCCTGCAACCCCCTGCTGCAGGAGAGGCAGGTAGGCTGGGGGCGGGGAAAGGCTCAGGCCCCCCTCACCCTTGTACATGCATTGTGGGTTTAGTTCTCCCTAAATTGAAATGGTGGATTTTTAAAAACCCACTGTTTCAATTTAGGGAGAACTAAACCCCAGTTGCACATGTACAAGCACCCATAGGTGTTACATTCTTCAGGGGTGATCTGTCCCTCATTACATGAGTCATTAACAGTGTGGCTCTGATC